TAGCAGTCAAGTGCCTTAGCCACTATGCTACCAGAGCTCCTAAGAAGCACTTAATTCTGAATTATATGTTGGCTGGCTGGCTGTCATTGCCATCATGTCGGATCTGACTCAACAGTGACCCCTCCTTGGGTTTCCGAGGTGCTATCACTATGGATGTAGATTGCCCAACCTTCCTTCCAATGAGTGGCTAGTGGGTTTGAACCACCAGCCTTCTGGTTAGCAGTCTAATGCCTTAAGCACTACACCACCAGAGCTCCTGTTACTACCAGAAACTCGAACAAATCAGTCTTGGAAGAAAAACAAGAATATTCCTTGGAAGCAAGGATGGTTGAGACTTCAACTCGCTTACTTTGGACATGTTATCAGGAATTACTAATGGCTAGAAATGGAAATCATGCTTGGTAAAGTAGAGGGTCGAAGTCCGTAAGTAGCACAAATGATCTGTGCTAGACAAAAGGTTAGAGGTTTGAACCCACCCACCAGTACTGGGCAAGGAAAGACCTGACAATCTGCTTCTATAAAGATTATAGCCAAAAACATTCTACAGAGCAGTTCTATCTGTAACACATGGGGTCATCATGAGTTGGAATCCACTCAAGGAGTGCTGCTAACAACAAAGTCAGTGAACATGAGGGAAAACTCAATGAGATGGATTGATGTAACAGCCCTAACAGTGGACTCAAACATACCAACTATTGTGTGGATGGTTTAGGGCTGGGAAACATTTCATTCTGATGTACATGGGGTCTCAGTGAGTCAGGGTAACTTGATGGCAACTAACAACAATCACCTTCTACCATACGTATTGTTTTCTTTTTCTCTATTTTTCCTTAATATAATTTTAGAAAAAAATAATTCTCAGTAACATGTATTTCAACCACATGATTCCAAAGAAACTGACCTAGAGTCACACAAGTAAAACACAACTCTTGATATTTTCGCCAAAGTTCCCCTCTCACGAGCCTGTATCAGACTGGTTCCCCTTTCCTCTCTGCTCAGTCCTTGTTTCTTTTCTCCAATATTCACTCTCTCTCAATAGCTTTAGGCTTGACACCAATGTTCCAGGGCCAGTGATGATGGGTAGGCAGAAGGATACTCCCAACTGGCTGAAACAGTTCTTTGGCTGAACTGACATGTTGAAGGTAAGACATGAGCCAAGACCAAACAAAGGCTTCCTTTAAACCTCTATGAACTGCAACAAATTTGTCTTAGAAGAAAACAACCAGAATGCTCCATAGAAACTAAGGATCCTGTGACTTTATCTTGCTTACTTACTGATATATCATCAAGAGAGACCAATCACTAGGAAAGGATGACTTGTTTAGTTGTTGTTATTGTTGTTATGTGCCGTCGAGTCGGACCTGACTCATAGCGACCCCTCCTTAGGTTTCACTACAAAAGCAGGATTGCCCAACCTTCCTTCCGAGGAGTGGCTGATGGGTATGAACCGCCAGCCTTCTGGTTAGCAGTCAAGTGCCTTAAGCACTATGCTACCAGAGCTCCTGACTTGTTTAATAGAGAGTCAGCAAAAAACAAAGAAAACCCTCAATGAGATGGACTGACACAATAGCTGCAACAATGGATTCAAACATATAAAAAAATCATGGAAATGGTGCAGGCTGGGCAACGTTTTGTTCTGTTGTACATGAGGTCACCATGAGTCAGCAACTAACAACAATAATGAACTCTAAGTGGAAAGGCTTGCCCCTATGTCACTTGATTTTTTTTTTTTTTTAAAGAGGGAAAGCAGGTGGTGAAAGAGCTGGATGGGGCTTCTAAGTGTTTGGTATACATTTGAATAGAATGACCTGAAAATATATAGTCCTTCCTCAACCCACTAAGTAGACAGTTAAGATTCTGATCTTTATTTCAGGGATGATTTTCAATCCTATTAAAGTTTTATCTGTACCCACAACACATGTTGACAGAGTTACAAAAGCAGTGAAAGTCTTTGCCAGGTAAGCAGTGATTTTAGCATCCAGAGAGAGAAGAGGGTGACAGAACCAATGGGACAAGTACTAGGTGGCCTGAGTCCACTCTGGCACCAAGATAAAGATGGACTTGGAGTGAAACAGCTTCACTGTGGAAATCTAAAGAAGAGTCAAGTGGGCAAAGAATTTTGGTTGAATCTGTATGGTAGGCCAAACTTGTGGCCTTCAACCACATGTATCAGATTCAAGATCTCTATAGAGTAGAACCAAACCCAGTGCCATAGTGTCAATTTTGACTCATAGTCACCCCCATTGGCATTCCAAGGCTATAAATCTCTATGGAAGTAGCTTGCCTCATCTGCCTCCCATGGAGCAGCTGGTGGGTTTGAACCGCTGACCTTCTGGTTAGCAGCCAAATGTCTTACGCATCACCACCAGAGCTCCTTATAGACTAGAATAGTAGCTCTCAAATTTTAGCATTCATCAGAATTACCTGGAAGGCTCCAGAGACTACATTTTTTAAAATTTAATTATTTTTTTAAGAGCTTGTTTTACATACAATGTTACATGTACAGTTAGTTTCATTCCCCATTTACCATGTCCAACCCTAACCCAGTCTCCTCCCTTCCCTCCCCTCCCCTTGTGGCCCTCATTTTTATGCAATCCTGTTTGTCCTGCATTTCTTCAATTTGAATGTTGATCCTCTGGTGCCCCCTGGTCTATTGCTCTAAGATATGTATTACCATAGAGTAAGTGGATGCGTCATCCTGGGTTGAGTGGTCTGCGTGTACATCTTGTTTATTATTGGGCTGAGAGCCAGGCCCTGGGAGTGAGTTTTATTCCAGGCATAGAATGTATTCCAGGGCCATAGTGTTGGGGGTCTCATCAGACTTCATCTGACCAGTAATTCTGGTCATTACTGAGATTTTGTATTTTGTTCCACGTTTTCCCTCCCACTCTATCCAGAATCTCCAGAATTGATCCCTTCCTGAGTGGTTGGCATTGATAGCTAGCACCATCTAGTTCTTCTGGTCTCGAGGGCCATCATGTCCTATGGCTGACTGCTTCCAAATGCCTTTGTTTTTTTTGCATTCTTCTTCACTTCTGACAATAGAAGACCATTAGCTGCATCTTAGATGGCCGCTTGAAAGCTTCTAAGTTCCAGAGACTACATTTTGAGAACCACTCAGGTAGTTTAGTAGCTCAAGCTGTGCTTACAGACCAGTCACTGAAATCAAACAGCAGGATTTTTAATTGTGTAATACTTGACAACTAATAGAGAATTGATAATCCCAGTCTATTTCTGAATACTAACCAACAATCTCATTATGTATTTTTACATCT